TTCATTTCCTTCATCTCTCAAGAGAAGGGGAACATAGAGGCCACATTGATCCACAAGGTGAAGCACAAAGATTTGTTAGGAAGCAGGGGGGAATGAAAGAAAACATGGACAAGAGCCGTAATTGACTTTTACACAGATAGGACACGTGAGGTTGTACATACACCACAGAATTTATTAGTTTGAGTAATTTCATCATTCTCTGCAATATAAAGTCTGTCTAGTTGTATTCTACTTGGCCCTGTTGTGGTTAGGGCAGGCAACATTGGTAAAGAGTGAGAGCCAAATAAAGGAGGTGAAGGGAATATGCACTCTGGTTTGGTTTGTTTGTACAAGAAATGCTTGCTTTCAAGAAAAGTCCTTTACTATCTGTAGGAATTTCTCTGCCTGAAAAGGGCAGTCCCTGCATGGCCATACAGCCTCCAAAATGTGAAAGCTTAAGAAATTCATAAAACAAAAAGACATGATTCATAAAGATGGACTACAGAATCCTGAAGTTCAGACAACAGTTTCAGGATGAAGACACATGTCAGTGTTACCAACAAAATGATTCTGATTCAAGCTCTGGAATGAATTGCATTTTCCAGGCAAAGTCTATAGAATGGTTACAGAAGACGGTGTGGGGTGGACTCCAATGAGGAACCCCAAAATGTAAGGTATGGACAGAGAAAGAGCAGTATAACAAAAACACTGAAATATGGCCAGAGAAGGAGGAAGACATCTAGGAAAAGAAGGGAAGAGATTTGGGGTGGAAAGGGACACAGTAGACACCATGTAAAACACTATAATAAAGATAAGAACTGAAAATGCCCATCAATTTTAAAGAGGACAGCATCCATACAGCCATGGTTGAAGAGTGAGTGAAGGAGAAGTAGCAGAAAAACTGGCAAAATTGTAATCTTTAATGAACTTCCCTGTGAAAAGAAAGAAAGAGATAGGGCAGAAGCAAAAGGGTATGTTGAGGCAGAAGTTTTAAGTGACAAGGTTTGTGATAGGTCATTTCTGTAGACAGACAGTGAAGGTGGGCATGTTAAAGACTCATTAGCAAGACTGTGAATTTTTAATAGCACTGAGTGGGACACTTGAACTATTCTTCTCGGTAGAATTCACTAACTTGATTTTAGTAATGGAGTCTATAAAGAGCTGTATTCTTCCAGAATTAGGTGGCTGATACTATGATAAGTTTAAGATAGTTAAGAAGAAAATGACCTGTAATCCCAGTCACTCAGAAAGAAGAAGCAGGAGAATCATGAGTTGCAGATCAGACCATGAAAATTCGTGAGACTATCTCAAAAATAAAGAACATACCAAAAAAAAAAAGATGGGGACATGGCCTATGTAGTTGGATGCTATTCCAGGTTAAATTACTAGTACTGCAAAAAAAGGAGAAAGGAAATTAAAGGGATGATCAATCAAGGAATAAAAATACATAATGTGGAGCTGGTAAAAATAAAAGAACAAAAATCATAGGTGAATAATTGAGGCAGAGGGATTACTAAATATGCACACGGTATGAGATTCTGTGCAGGTATGAAGAAATGACCATAAGCTTTTCCTCTCAGTTAAGCAATTTAAAAAGAGAAAAAGGCTTATTATGGATCATTGTTCTGGAGGTCTCAAGCCAAGAAAGATTGAGACTGTTGCTTTTGGGCCTGTGGCAAGCAGCATATGATAGTGGGAGTGAATTGTATAACAAAACTGATCAGTTCAGGACTGGAAACAAGAAATAGAAAGAGGATGGGCTTTGCATCCTGCTGTGCCTTTCACTCCTCCTCAATTACCTGTGGCCTCTCAACAGTTATCAAAATTTCTACCACCTCTCAGTTGGGACACCCTGAAGACCAAGCTGCTTTTCTAAGCCTTTGGGGGACATTTAAGTTTCAACTATAGCATCCTTCAAACTTTAGAGACTAAGATCCTGCATTGTGGATTTTTTTTATTTAGTGTGAACTTGCATTTGATAAACTTCTGTAGTCAGGGGGCACAGGTCACATTTGTGTTGAGTTTTTGGTCAGTATGCTCCCACTATGCTCTTTGTCTTCTGTAGCTTTCTAACAAATGGCTGTGAGATTTGCAAGTTCAGTCTTCTTCATTCAGTATTTGTCCAACTAGGATTTGGAAGTTAAGGTTCATTTTCCTCAGTTCTATATTACGTTAGTATTTTATCTATTATGGAGGGCATTTGTTGTATTAAGACTTCTTGTTTCATCAAATTGAAGTGTTTTGGATCACTGTTCAATCATTTATCATTTTATTTATGTTTCTAAACTTTGGTTAATTTGCAAATATTAAATATATCTATACGTCACTAAAATATCATTGATAAAAATATGTAACAGGTATGATTAGATTAAAAATCTTGTGCCACTAAATGAGAAATTTAGTAGGTGTGTTATTTTCATCATGTTCCAAAAAAACCCAAATATTTCTGGAATAATTTTGCAGAGTAGGCATGGTGCCAAGGTGGGGAATGTATTCATTAACTGGTTCAATATTTTTTGAGAGCCTTTTATTCCCTGGCACTGCAGCCAAAATAAAATGGTAAATAAAAGCATGGAAAAAATCAGTGGTATAGACAGACAAGGATTACAAGGTACAGAAATACAAGAGCTTCCTGTTCTCTCTCATATGGAGAAGCTAAAAAATTCAACAGGAAGGGCTGGTGGAGTGGCTCAAGTGTTAGAGCACTTGCCTTGCAAGCATGAGGCCCTGAATTCAAGCACCAGTGCCATCAAAATAATAAAAAATTCAACATGAATGTAGAATAGCAATCTCTAGCAGTTGGAAATAGGGAATAAATTGAGGCTGGGTTTGATTGGTGTACAATGTGTGCCCATGTTGGAATATCACGCTGAACTCCAGGAATATGTGAAACATTTATACATTTTAATTATGAATAAAATAATTTTAAAAATAAAATATGTAACAAGTGCATATAACATATTTTTTTAAACTTATAGAATGTAATATGCCATTTAATCCCAATCAAAAGCCTGTGAAATGAGTTGTTTTCTGTGTTACAGGTAAATAAACTGATATTCACAGAAGCAAATGTTACTGCCACCACTGCTCAGTGATAGAGTTGATCCGTAGGGACTTCGTATGAACTCTACAGCTGTTGTACTCTGTGACGGCGGCCATTTCAAAAAACAGCTTTGATGTATTGGTTTAATACATCATGTGAATTAATATTTTGCTGTTATCATTCACATTTTCTCCTTTCCCATAAAAGCATCAAAAGGGCATCCACAAGGCTCCCTGGAATAATTGATCCAGGATTGATCCATTAATGTTGATTTTTTTGGTTCAGCTGACTTAAAAAATAGCAATGAGTTAATTTGCCAAAAATTGCTTGTATAGGTCCAGGCACCAGTGGCTCAATCCTAAGATTCCTAGCTACTCAGGAGGCAGAGATCAAGAGGAGTGTGGTTCAAAGCCAGCCAGGGCAAATAGTTCACGAGACCCTATCTCGAAAACACCCAGCACAAAACAGGGCTGGTGCAGTGGCTCAAGTGTATGGTGCCTGCTTAGCAAGCACAAGCTCCTGAGTTCAAACCCCAATACCATAAAAAATTGCATTTATAAGGCTAATTCCAAGCTTATGTTGATTGGTATCTATTTTTTGTTTTGTTTTCCTTTCCAATATACTTTCTTATAATCCTGTTTAGATTTTTAACTACAAGAAATGTGAGTCTTAAAGAGAGCAACATTCCATGCCTATCCCACTTCCATAGTTTACCAAACTGTGTGAGCAGTTAATCTCCAGGTTTCTCAGAAAAAAAATGAATTTTCATGAGATTTGAAAGGAAAGTTCAAATTTTGTTTCAACAAAATTTACTTAACATCATCTCTGTGCCAAGTGAAGTTAACAGTAGTTTAACACCTTTATGTGTATCTTAAATGAAGACACTAGTAACAATTTTTTGTTCAGTAACATTTCTACCACTGAGGATTCAGGTCAGAGACAATGATATATCAAATATTTTGATGAGAGTATCAAGTGCTGTAGAAGAAAATGTACAAGGAGGACTGGACACGAGAGAGGGAAGCAGTCCTTGTTGGGGAGTGATGGAGAGCCTTATCAGCTGAAGATCTGTCTGGAGGATACTACAAGGAGGGGTATGAGACATTTTAGGAACCAATTTATTGCTAATTGTTCCCCCACCAAAAAACAATGAAAGTGCACTCTTCTTAAACCTTTGCTGGTCATGACTGGGGTCTCCAAGTATGATGCATGAACTATGTTCATGGGGCAAAAGGAGGAAGACAAACACCCACCAAGAGGCTCAACGTGGGATCGAAATCTGACAGAGTATAATGTATTAAAACAGTTTGCCTAATTCTCCCTTCCCTAAGGGAGAAAATTGGAACAATAGAGAATGCTAATACTACTGCTGAATTTTTTCACTTCAATTTTTTTATCCTTCTACTTTCCCCACACAAGTGCTGATATTAAAGGTGTACACCACCACCATCTGGCTCACTTTTGAGATTTTACACACACACACACACACACCCAACACAAACATACACATATAAACATATACAATTTTTTAGAAAGCAATTTAATACATCTTCATTTCCATTTATATGTTCTTTTTTGTGATATTAGGGTTTGAACTGAGGGCCTCATCCTTGTTAGGCAAGTACTCTACCACTAAACCCACTCCCCCGTCCCATAACTTTGATGGTTAAAAGGAGTTTCCACAATCTAATTTCTCTAAGGAGGGAATACATTATCTCTACTTTCAAACTGGTAAACATCAGATGCAAAAAAATCGAGATAACTGGCTAAGGTTCAAAGTCCACATCATTCCTAACTCAGTGACCTTCTGTCCAAAGGAGACGAGAGAAAGAAGACTGGATAGACCAAACTAAATAGCAAAATAGAAAATAAAATGCATGATTTTAAAGTATTTAGGGAATACTGTGAAATAGTATTCTAGCTCATTCTACACAGGAGGCATTAAATTGTCTTCTGTTATTTGGACAGGCAAAAGGCTATGGGAAATTTCAACATCACATTTGCAGAAGGCTTCATTTTGGTGGGCTTCTCAGATTGGCCTCAACTGGAACTCATCCTTTTTATCTTTATTTTGGTTTTCTACTGCCTAACTCTCTTTAGCAATACCACCATTATCGCTCTCTCCCGACTGGACGTTCAACTGCACACACCCATGTACTTCTTTCTCTCACACCTCTCCTTCCTAGACCTCTGTTTTACCACCAGCACTGTGCCTCAGCTTCTGATCAACCTTCATGGACTTGACAGGACCATCAGCTATGGAGGGTGTGTGGCCCAGCTATATATCTACCTTGCCCTGGGTTCCACTGAGTGTATGCTCCTGGTGGTGATGGCCTTTGACCGCTATGTTGCTGTGTGTCGTCCACTCCATTACATGACCATTATGCACCCTTGTCTCTGCCATGCATTGGCTATCTCCTCCTGGGTGGGAGGCTTTGTGAACTCTCTAATTCAGACAAGTCTTGTGATGGCCATGCCTCTCTGTGGCAACCAGCTAAATCACTTTTTCTGTGAGATGCCTGTATTCCTTAAGTTGGCTTGTGAGGACCCAGGAGGAACTGAAGCCAAGATGTTTTTGGCCCGAGTCATAGTGGTTGCTCTTCCGGCAGCATTAATTCTAGGTTCCTATGTACACATTGCTCAGGCAGTGCTGAAGATCAAGTCAATGGCTGGGCGTAGGAAGGCTTTTGGTACATGTGGATCTCACCTCTTGGTAGTTTTCCTTTTTTATGGCTCAGCAATTTACACATACCTACAACCTATCCACAGTTATTCTGAGAGGGAGGGAAAATTTGTTGCACTTTTTTATACCATAATCACTCCCATTCTCAATCCTTTGATTTACACTCTAAGGAACAAAGATGTGAAGGGAGCTTTGTGGAAGGTGTTAAAAAGAGGCAGAGGCAGAGATGTGGGGTAGGAGTGGAAAACAAGGCTTATAAAATTTCAGGTAATAGCTCTCAGATCATGGTTCACATCCTGTTCCTTAGAGGCTGTTGAAAATATCAAACAGTCCTCTGAGCTCTCAGAGTTTCAGTGCTTTCCTAACTTGGAAGTTGAATATGTAGATCTTTTGAGACTTTTTCTAGTTTGTTTCCTATGATCATTATAAGAAAGAATAAGTGTTGATTTATAACACAATTTTCCAAAGGAATGAACTTGGGAAGAGGGTGCATTGTGACCACATATGAAGAGTGCACCTGAGTTCTTGGCATGTCAGAGAGTGGCAGAAGACTCAATTCAGAATGACAACACCTTTTCTTAAGTCAATCAGTCCCAATGTAGTGCCATGTTAATGGCCCTGTGCCCAAAAGCAGAGGACATGAGATCATCTCTGCTTTTCTAATTAGCTGTGATTCTCAACATGTTCCCTCAGATCTTCAGGCTCATTTCTAATGTCTTGAACAGTCACTACTCTTCCATGGTACTTGGAATAAACAAGGAGATTATGAACAAATACACTTAATGGAGAAGGTAGTCTAGTGGATTCTACACTCTTCTATGATGACATTTACCTACCTAAAAAACCAGAAAATATTCTTAGGGCATCAATGAATAAAAGGAGGCATCAACATCTCATCAGGTCCACTAAGAGACTAGTCATGTTGTTTAGTGACACAGACACAATCTTTCCATGCAAGAGAGAAGATAACAGAGAAGAAATGAGCCATGATGGGGAGCTACTGGAAAAAAAGAATGAAAAGGAATTACACAAATGGAAATGCAAGAGATTCCTAAAGTAGGGAGTGGTAGGAGGCTCTAGAAACTTTGAGCCATAGCATAAAGATAGGGGTTACTTGAAGCCCACCACTGTCAATTGTTCTATGAACATAAACAACAAATTCATGTCAAAGCAAATGTATCCACATTAATAAATTTTAAAGTCTCTGTAAATTTCATGTTGAGTAAATCATTATTTAGTACAATATCTTTTATTTGTTTAATATGTGAAATATTTTTATTGTATTAGTCATTATTTACCACAGAATTGTGGCAGTTTAGCTATGTTTACTATTTTTCTGTGATGAATCTGAACTTCAAAGGACTTAAATAAAAACTCCAAGGTTTCCTATAAACTATGGGGTGATGATGATGCTCAAATACAACTTACTACTTACTACACTCTACCGAATTCTCTGTTTCTGAGAGTAAATTTTTAATAGAGAAAGATTGAGGTTGGAAAGAAAGTCATGTGGAAGGAGAACGAAATGTGAGTTTAATGTGTTCCACAATTTTGCTTTTGTTAATTATGGCCAGGTTTCTAGACTCTTCTGTGTTACACATTTTTTTGGTTGGGGCATTTTTTTATTGCACAAAGCTAATCTATTCTATAATACAATGGTTCTCATTTCTGGAGCCATATTTATAGTTCAAGCAACATTCTATACAAAATATTACATTGTCACAATTAATGATTACAATATAAACTATAGGTATTATTTCCACACCCATACTAGTTTTGTTCATCAAGAGACTGAAAGTTAGATAATTGTTTTGTGTGGTTGTTCTCAAGTTACCTATGCATTAAACTGAGGATTAGGATTTGAATCTGGTCTGCTTTATTCTTTATCAAGCTCACATAACTATAACCTAAGCATCCATATTTTAGTTGAAGGCACAAACGGTTTTCATAAAATAAGTGTTTTTTCTTCTACATCCTTTGTCAAGGTCTAAATCATGCATTCACATTGACCTAATGAACAAAGGAGATTTGAACTAATTGTATATAATTTTATAAAATTTTGTCATTAATATAGTAATCATCCTTCCAATTGGCATGTAGAGAATATAGTCACCCAGGTATATCAAATGAAGCATATTCCACAGTCAAACATTTCTGAGAGGTCACTGGTGCAATGGCCACACATTGCTTTTTGCAAGTAAGATGTTGTGGGAGGCAGATAGGAACCTAGATCCCTTGGGTCTCCTTGGACCTTCATTCATGCAGCAATTCATCATTCATCACTGCAAATTATGGACCTCTAGAATGTGTAAATGAGTCCCAGAGATGAACTGCTTGCATGGAACAGAATAGTAACACCTTGGCACATATTTTCTTTGTCTCTGACAGTCCAGTTCACTGCCATTTGAAACTCCTTGCCATTAATTTTTTCATTGGTAAGCCACAAATGGGGTTTTCAGCTAGAAATAGTGGTGTGTGCAAGACTTAAAGTTTACTCTTATCTATGGGAAAGATAAGTAAGTTTAGAGAAAAAGAGATTATGTAGAATTGGCTCTCAAGAGGGAAAAGAGAGATTAAGTTACACAGAAGAAATAACAAGAACATGGAGATTTTGCAGTGAAGTCCAAGAAAAACTTGTTTTCATAGGTTGAAAGACATTCCTGGATCACAACATTTTTTGTTATAAAAATATCATTGGTTTTGCTGATGTCATTTCTAATTATAATCCATAGCTCAGATCAGGAGTAAGAAAAGGGTGTCCACTCCTGCTATGTTTATTGAACATGGTTCTGGCAGTCCTAGCCAGAGGTGAAAGGTCTCTACAGTTAAAGCCATAAAACATTGTTGATATATATTTTAGATGACACAGATAAATGGAAAGATACATTATGTCATGGATTGGAAGAATCAATTCTGTTAAAATGTGCATACAATCCAAAATGATCAATAGATTCAATGCTATCACTACCTATATTCCAATGGCACTTTTCACAGAAATAGAAAAATATCCTAAAAGTCATAAGGAAGTATAAAAGATACTGAGCAGTATAAAAGATACTGATCAATCTTGATCAAGAAGAACAGCTGAGGCATCAAATTTATTGATTTCAAACTATAACATAGTGCTATAGTTATGAAAATAGTATTGTAGTAGGAGAAAACAGACCATAAACAATTTTGCAATGGAAAAGTACAGTATATAAAACAGAGAACTCAGAAAAAAATGCATACATGGTCAAATAAATCTTAATCAATGAGCCAAGTTTACAAAATGTGGAAGTTGTATACTCTACAATAAATGGTGTTACAGCCCCACCCTAACTGTGGACTAGCTAGGTGGCCTCCTATTTATCTTTGAGGATAGGATGCCCACAGGTCAGAAGTTCCTGTCCAGATGGGCTGGCCAAAACTACTTAGATCTGAAATGGCTGCCAGAGTGAAGCCAGACAACTTCTGGCTTCATTATTTTTCCTTCCATGTGTAAAATGACACCTCCAATGCCATGACATTTGAAAATTCCATGAAAATGACCAGAAAGAACCATAAAAGGAGCAAAAGTGGGTGGATCCTGAATTCCCATGAAATCTCCACTTGTTCCTAGAAAAGACATGAATATTCCTCTTCTATTGACCTATTGCTCCCCCACATTTCTTTTATCCTAAATCTTTAACCTTCTGACTCCCAACAGCTCAAGAAGCTGACTGGTCAGGTTTTTTTCTTTTTCTGTCCAAGAATAAAACTCTGCTTCCCTGCTCAAGTAAGTGAACAAATAAATAAATATACAAATAAATAAACAGTGTTGGGAAAACTGGGTACCATATGAAAAAATGACATTATATCCTTTTCTCACATCAAATGCAAATATCAACTCAAAGTGAATTAAACACTTCCATATAAGACTTTAAATTATGACTATTCTAGCAAAATACAGATGAAAGCTTGTCATTGAGGATTTTGGCAATGATTTGTTTTGATTTGACAGAAAAACCACAGGCAACAGGTGAAAAATAAAGAAATGAGACCATTTCAAATTACAAAGTACTTTTTTTCATAACAAAGAAATTAGTCACTAAGATTAAAAAATAACTTAGAGAAAGAGGGAAAATATTTTGAACCATAAATCTTATAAGGGATTAATATTCCAAAATTTATACCCACCATACAAATCAATAGTAATAAAACAATAATTTAAAATGAGAGAAGGATCTGAAGAGATATTTCCCTAAGTAAGCCAATTATATAGCCAAATTTATTGGAAAGTATCATCAATAGACTAGACCATGAAGAAGAAAGAATATCAGGGATTGAACAAAGTTTATGAATTATTACATTCAGATAACAATAAAGGAAAAAGTACTTATGACCACAACATCAAATACCTCTGGGCCACAATTATTAAAGATACCAAAACTAAAATCTTTGGAATAGAAGAGGTGAGTGAAATACTGACAAAAGTCACAGAAAATGTACTCAATGAAGTTAGAGTAGAAAATTTCCAAGATCTGGGCAAAGAAATGGATATCTAAGTATATGATACATTTAGAACCTCAAATAGACCTCACCAGAAAAGAACTTCTCCATGTCATATTATAGTGAAAATTCCAAGAGTACAAAATAAAAAAAGAATACTGAAAGAGAGAAGCAGCATGTTATATACAAAGACAACTCTAGAATAATAACAGCTGACTCCTCAGCAGGAATCCTAAAGGCCAGAAGAACATGCACTGATATGCTACTTATCCAGAAAAGTTGTCCTTTAAAAACCAAAAGATAAAGAACTTCCATAATAGGCACAAACTAAAGCAATTCATGATAACCACAATAGCCTTGAAGAAGATACTTAAAGTAATATTACACGTAGAAGAAGAGGAAAGATATACACAGTCTTTAGTGCCTGGGAGGGAATAAATCTCATTAGGAGAACAGAAAAACACATTAGTAGTAAGAAAGAAACAAATAAAAAAAAACTGTGTAAACCAGCAAAACTCTTAAGATAAACAAGGGAGACCTAGATATACACCTGTCAATAATAACCATAAATGTAAATGGTCTTAATTCTCCAATTAAATGTTACAGACTGGCTGAATTGATTAAGAAATAAGATCCACTGTTTGCTATCTGTTCTTTTTCTATAGAAGTGTGCTGGATATTGTTAACATTTCATTTTTTCGTAAAAATTTTAGAATTACCTTAAGTTCCATAGGGAAAACAAATTCTGCTAGAATTTTCACTGGTTA